TGCTGCTGCTGCTGCTAGTGCTACTGCTAGTGCTACTGCTGCTGCTGCTGCTGCTGCTAGTGCTACTGCTAGTGCTACTGCTACTGCTGCTACTGCTGCTACTACTACTACTACTACTACTACTACTACTGGTACAGCACACAAGGCCGTTGTTTAGTCCGGCATGGGACCACAGGTACCGGGACAACACCGTAGATTCGGGCCCTGAAGCAAAGCCGTCTATTTCGCCTCGACCCCAAACCGTGCTTTTCGAGTCCATGGCGTAGGATTAGGGCTTGATGCTTTCAGCCCTCCATGTTGGATTGAGTCTCAAGGGCTTTCAAACTGCTATTTCGGATTAGTTTATGGCCTTGTCACTTTTTGTAGGTTTCCTAGCTCGATGCTGTGGACTAACATTCGGACCATGCAGGAGCCTCAAGACCAACCGGCTCTTCCCAACGCCCAACAAGCCGGACCCTATGCCACACAACTTGGCGTTCCTCGGTTCTAGATGGTGGCGAATGCAGAAACGTGGCAAGTAGAATGCAGTGGAGGGGGTACGAGGATTTGGGCTTGGGGCCCAAAGGGGTCCTTTTAGGGACCTATACGGGCTCCTTCAAGGAATCTATAAGGGTTCCTTTAAGGAATCGATAAGGGTTCCTTTAAGGGTAGGGTTGCCAAGCCTTCCACTGTTCATTCTTGTTCCACTCTCATGCCCAGCGCCGCGAACTCAACCTGGTCTGAGTATGTATTCCAATAACACCAAGTCTGGGGATCCTTCAGAACAGTACGCTTCTGGGTCCTTGCTGGATATAATCTTACATTTTTGTTATGATAACACCCAGTAAGGATAAAACATATTCATTTTCAATATAGCCATATATAGCCCTAACAGGGAGCCAGGCTTTGATGGCAGGCTAGTTCGGTCCTTACTCCTGTTTGGAAGCTTGGAGATCGCCAAGAGACCCAGTGATGCAGCGAGTAGCGATGATGAGTTATGCAAAAGACTGCGAAAGTTTTTACTAGTAAGCTAGACCAGCGGGTTTAGGGTTTAGGGTTTAGGGCCCCGTAACCCTAAACCCTGAGCCCAAAAACCTTAAACCCTAAACCAACTCCTATGGGTGTAAAGCAGGACACCCCGAGCATCCTAAGCAGAAATGCCGAGGTTCCTCTTCACGAAGATCACACCGGAGCAGATGATGTACATGCCCCTCGCAGCAAACTAAACCCTGAATCCCCTAAACCCTAGACCCCAGACCCGAAACCCTAAACCCCGGACCCTAACCCCTAAACCCTAAACCCAAAGCCCTAAGCCCCAAACCCTAAGCCCTAGGCCCTAAACCCTAAACCTTAAACCAAACTAGGGGGTCCTGCAAGGCGAAGTCCCTAGTTTCAAAGTGCCTTTATTAATGAAGACTTGATAAGAGTTTAACAATATAGAAGCCTAAATAACTACCAATGTTACGGTTGGGGTTCCTTATCATAAATAATATAAGAAAGGAGCCCCAAGTATCCTATTCTCATGATTGTGTCTAAGGCCCCGACATTTTAGGGTTCAGGTACACAAGTGCTCATAGTGTCTATAAAGGCTCTTAGGGTTCCTATCGTATTTTCAACAGTTTAGGGCTTAGGGTTTAGTTGTAGCTCTCAAGCTGCCAACACCCTACAAAGGCTGCACCTCCATAAACCCGAATATAGGCGCCTAAATAAGTGCTAATACTTTTTGTGGTTCCTTGGTATAGTTATTGTAGAATACACACCAAAACCCTTTTCTAATTATTAAGCCCCCCCCAATATTATGTCTAGATCCAAAACCCGGGCCCGGAGGACAAGCACGACTCAACAAATCGGAAAACAACATATAAACTTGAAACAAACGGCCTTAAACCCTAAACCCTAGGCCTGCGGATGGAGAAAGAGGCTACTGCACTTTAAAATACGACCTACATTAGCATCATCTGGTCTTGAAGAAGGGCCTCGAATGCGGCAAGAGAGATGCCGGGCTTGGGTTGTGGGGCTGAAGCGGGGTTTCGGGCTTAGAGGGTTTCAGGGTTTAGGGCTTTGGGTTTAGGGCTTAGGGTTTGGGGTTAGGGCTTAAGGTTTAGAGTTTAGGGCTTCGGTCTTTGGATTCAGGTTTTAGGGTTAGGGCTTTGGGCTTAGGGCTTTGGGTTTGGGGTTTGGGCTTGAGGTTTAGAGTTTAGGGCTTCGGTCTTTGGATTTAGGTTTTAGGGTTAGGGCTTCGGGCTTAGGGTTAGGGCTTAAGGTTTAGGGTTTTGGGCTCAGGTCTTTGGGTTTAGTAGGAATACGGTTTAGGGCTTTGGGTCGCAATTCTCAGAGAGGAGGACTCAGAGGGCCGAACCCTGAAAAAATCCAGCGCAGAATAATGGTGGCTCTCCACGGACAGAAAAATTCCAAGAACTTCCCGGAATACAGGGTCTTTGAGTAAGAAGCACTCTTATGATGGATGAATATGTAACTTGTATGAGTAATCGTTCCTTAGAACCCTACATTATGCACACTGCTGAGGTGGAACGTGCTCACTTTCATCTTCTTGACCCAGTGCACGATGATCGTGGCCCGGATCAAAGGATAAGGGCACCCTAAACCCTAAACCCTAAACCCTAAAGCATAAGATGTTAGTTACAGTTTTCCAGACCGACTCATGGATCATTTCAATCAACGGGAGAAGGACTAGTAGTGCGCCAAACGTTATGATTTGAGAGTGGTTGATGTAATGCGAACTCAACCGACAGCTCTAACATACCGAACAAGCACTGATGACAGGGCGAAAGAGAGAGAGAGAGAGAGAGAGAGAGATGTTTGGCTTACCCTAAGGCTCCACGGACTCATATGTTGAGGCTTTTGGGCCCCCACTGCCATACTACATGTTGCTTTCGGGCTTTTCGACAGCTAAGGCAGCTTAGGGCTGAGCTCCCCAAATAAGCATTTACCTTTCGCCTAGACGATTTCGGAGAGCGAATTCTGTGGCTTAGAAGCGACGTCAAAGATTCCTTCAGCTGCTAATGCCTGAAACGTGTGGGCATCAGCCAGGGTCCGCGTTTGTTGCATTTGCTTGCGTACTAAACCCTCAACCTTAAAGGTGAGTCAGCCCTAAACCCCAAACCCTAAAGGGATGCGGGGAAGTGTTCGTTCTACACATGCAGTGGTTGGAAGCTACACAGCCATCACAGCTTCGAGAGTTGAGAGCTGGGGCAGGGTTCTATTTGGGCTTCACTTATTTCCCCAAAAAGCCAGGGAAATAAAAGGTTAAAGTTTCAGATTACTATTGAATTGTAAGCATCCGAAATGTTTAATTTAAAGGTTGGGTATTGGAGAACTTCAATCCTTGAAACCCTGTCCCCTTAAGCCCAGATTACCACCCCCTAAACCCCTTAAGCCCTAAACACTTTACCTCTTAAGCCCTAAACCCGAAACTCTAAACCCCTTAAGCCCCAAGCCCCTTGCCTCTTCAACCCTAAACCCGAAGCCCAAAGCCATGACTTGAAACTCTCAGAGACAGAAGACTCTAGGATTCCGCACGCTGGACATAGCGGTAGTCGTGGCAGCAGCAGTAGTGCTACTCGCAATGGTTATAGTCGTGTGGTGGTGGCAGTGGTAGTGGTAGTGGTGATGGTAGTGGTAGTCGTGAAGGTGGCGGTAGTAGAAGTAGTAGTAGTAGTAGTAGTAGTAGTAGTAGTACTAGTAGTAGTAGTAGTAGTAGTAGTAGTAGTAGTAGTACTAGTAGTATTAGTAGTAGTAGTAGTAGTAGTAGTAGTAGTACTGTAGTGAGCGGGGGGGCTTAAAAGGAGTTATATTGTACTTAGCAAAGATATATTGAGTTAACCGAGGGTTATAAATA